GAGACTGAAGAAGGCAGAGAGTGGTTACATGTAACACCCGAGGGAGAATGTGTGGTTGTCGGTGCACGAGGCATGACAATGAGACACTCCTAGCAGCTTCTAGGGGAAAACTAAATTCACATTGGAATGAGAGGAATCCTGAGGTTGTGCAGGTATGAGACTGCATGGTTTAAGGAAAACTTATAAGGATTAATTGGTACTACCTATACCAACAAGATGCATCTTCTTTTTGGTAGCTTGTTTCATAAGAACTCCATAGTTAAGTGTGCTTGAATTGGAGCAATTTTAGGATGGGTGACCTTCTAGGAAGTTTCCCGGAAAGCGTGTGATTAAGGACAAAGCATGCTGAAAAGACCTGTGTTGGTTTGTGGGGTCAGTTGGTAATCCTGAAAGTAGTTTGAAGTGTTACAAATGATATCAGAGTCATACCTCTCCCATTACAATGTGTGTCGGGGATGAACCAAGCAGAAGCTGATGGGCATGTAACACCCGAGGTCGAAGAGTGCAGAGAGTGGTTACATGTAACACCCATGAGCGAGGGGGTGGTTGTCTGTGCATGAGGCATGATAATGAGACACTCCTAGCAACTTCTAGGGGAAAATTGATTTCACATTGGAGTGAGAGGGATCCTAAGGTTGTGTAGGTATGAGACTAATAAGAACTTCATAGTTAAACATGCTTGACTAGAGTAGTATTGGGATGGGTAACCTTCTGGGAAGTTTCTCGGAAAGCATGTGAGTGAGGAAAAAGCATGTTGAAAAGACTCATGTTAGTTTGTGAGGTCAGTCAGTAATCCTGAAAGCAATTTAGAGCGTTACAAATGGTATCAGAGCCAGACCTCTCCTGGTACGATGTGGTTCGGGGACGAACCTGACAAAAGTTGGTGGGCATGTAACATCCGAGACCGAAGAGGACAGAGAGTGGTTACATGTAACACCCGAGGGTGAAGGTGTGGTTGTCGGTGCACGAGGCATGTCAATGAGACACTCCTAGAAACTTCTAGGGAAAAACCAAATTCACATCGGAATGAGAGGGATCCTGACGTTGTGCAGATATGAGACTGCATGGTTTAAGGAAGACTTATAAGGATTAATTGGTACTACTTATACCAACAAGATGTATCTTCTTTTTGGTAGCCCGTTTCATAAGAACTCCATAATTAAGCGTGCTTGACTTGGAGCAATTTCGGGATGGGTGACCTTCGGGGAAGTTTCCCAAAAAACGTGTGACTAAGGACAAAGCATGCTGAAAAGACCCATGTTAGTTTGTGGGGTCAGTCGGTAATCTTGAAAGCAGTCTGAGGAGTTACACCTGATGCCTTCACCGTCACACCCGACGATGCCTTTACCCAAATGGATCTTGACTATTTTTGGAGAATAATAATAGGTGACTATCATCCAAAGCCCAATACCATGTTTTCCGAGAGCATCCATAACCCCGCTCTCCGATACTTCCACAAAGTTTTGGCCCATACACTTTTCACCAAGGAAGAAAACATTGCAGCTGTATCCAAAGATGAGCTTTTCATCATGTATTATGCTACACAGGGAAGGCCTGTGAATGTCGGTGCATACATACTTGCTAACTTAACCAAGATCAATCGAGAACTTAACACCGCCTTACTTTCAGAAGGCCTTGTGACCATGATAGCTGATGCCATTGGACTTAGATACCACCTGAACCAAATATGTCCTTTTGGATCCATCTGTCCCATGAGCATCACCTTCTGTTTTAACTGCAGAATCATTGTTAACCTTGGTCCGGTTGAATTTGAGTACCTCATCAATAACAAAGTGGTTCGTGACTTCACACTACCGAATCATGAGAAATCAAACGTTCATAACCGAGCCAACTGGCTCTATGACCTGGAAGAAGAGCACGAATCACCTACACCACCAGGCAACCCTCAACTGTATGATAACTATGTTAATTTAGCCCCTGATGCCACATCTTGTGTTGCTAAGCCATTACCCTTGCACCATCCAGCAGAACTTACTTTAGACATCCTTGCTCTCCAGAATGAAGTTGACTTCCTCATAGGTGAAATCACTTCGCTGCGAGGCAACTTTCATGGACGTTGTCAACGAGCACTTTGACCAGCTTTTTCAGCAAGTGTTCTCGCTGAAGCGTCATAGGGACTGATGTCATCCTTCTTTGATGTTTTTATTTTGTTTCTTTCACATTTTTTAATTTTCATTCAGTATTTTACTTCTTGTAATTTTTCAATTTCGTAACACTCTGTGTATTGTCGACATGTCGACGAGGAACATTTTTGTTACTATTCTTTTCCATTAATGCAATTTCTATTCAGTATTTGAAATTTTATTTCTTTTATATTTGTGCATTTTATTTTCTTTCACTATCTTTTATCTGCATTACCTAAAACAAACAAGAGAATACAAAAATAAACCTTTCAAAAACTGAAAAAGCGCTCAGACCTTTGGAAATCTGAATTTTTGCGAATTTTGGCCTAACGACGCTCGCCATTATGTTGATGGCGTTCGCCATTGCTGTTTCTTTTGCAATTTTCACGTTTTCAAGGAATGACATTCACCATATGCCTCATGGCGCTCGCCATTAAGTTAAAACGAACAGAGTTCTGTCAGTTTTTGAATTTGCACGATTTTTCAAAGTTTTTCTATTCCTCTTCCCTAAGAAGCCTCCCAACCACCCAAACTAATCATCATTAACCCTCTAACGACCACCCATCCACATTCCTAATCATTCACTTTAAATACCCTCAAAACATTCGTTATAAACTCACCAAAACCTCTAACACTCTCTCTTGTCTTTCTACAAAATCATCCACATCCATCTTTTTACTCCTTCCTTTTCCAAGAGCCACCACAATGCCTCCTCGAGTCGCTAGAGATATCGACTACATGGGTATCGAGTTTCTAGAGGGCGTTTTTGGCCAAACACAATGTGCGAATTACCATTAGCTTTGTAAGAGGCATGTCCTTGCTACAAGGTACCCAAATTCTGATACTATAAGAGCTTTAGGCCTCTGCGATAGCATCGACTGGATGCTCACGAATCTAGGTATGTCTCAATTTTGTTCCATGAGCAATGCTACATCTGTTAGACTTATTTATGAATTTTTGAGTTCTTTTCGGCAATACACTGATTATTCGCACACCACGGGGTCAGCTGATTTTAGGATGTTCAATGTTGACTATTCCCTCACTCATGAACATATAGGTTCTATTTTTGGTTTTCCTAGTGGAGAAGAATATTCCACACGGGCACCCCTTGACAGTGAGTGGGAGGCCGGTGCTTATAATTTTTGGTATCAAATCACTAACAACCACACCACCACTTAGGAAGGCTTGAAAGCCACAACCATACACAACCCTGCTATCTGTTACCTTCACCGTATTTTAGCCTCAACCATCTTCAGAAGAGAGAACTCTGGAAATGTGAATTCCAAACACTTATTTTTTATTCACTGTGCTTTCTCGCAAACAAAAGTTAACCCAACCCCTTTTCTACTTGCACACCTTGCATCTGCCGGTGGTAGAACCAGTGGTCCCATTTGTATCGGTGGCATCATTACGCACCAAATTTTTGTCATTGATAAATATTAAAAAATACTAAAAATGTTCGTTTTTTAAAAATTAATATAAAATAAAGTTATTACGGGTAAATAAAAAAATAGAAAATCTATTTTTAATATGCAACTATCACATCCATCAAATCATATTTTTTGTTTAAAAAATTTATAAAATTTTAATTAAAATAAGTTATAAAATATAAGTAAAAGTGTATGTGATTAAATAAAATAATATTTATTTACGAGCAAAAGTAAATTGTTGACTCAAATATTTTTATATAAATTCAAATATATAAGTAATGTCAAAATAAAATTAATATTCATATACGGGAAAAAATACATTGTTGATTAATTTATTTACATATACGAAAAAAAAATTATTATAACATTGAATAATGTGAATTTATCGTTAATTTTTTCAAATATGTGAAAAGATTAATAAAAAAAATAATATTGTTATAAATAAGAACAACTTTACTAAAACACGAAATAGTATATTGTTGATTCAAATATATATATATATATATATATATATATATATATATATATATATATATATATATATATCAATGAACTATAGATACTAATTTATCATATCTTTTAAAAATAATAACTTTTTTGGTTGAACAATTTAATTTTTAATATCATTTTTATTATATTTTAGAAAAATTGCGCGTAGTATATCAGTAACCGTGTGAACGCATTTACACTATAATTTGTGCGAATGTACGGGTTATTGCATTTTTTTATAATTAAAAAAATAAAAATAAAAATATTTAAAATAATGTTTAAATCTAAACACGTGCATAATGTATTTGTTTATGTTACTAATATTTATTTATACAATTAAAATAATATTTATAAATAATATTTTATTAGTTGATTTTTATATAATTAAATAATTATATAAATGTTTTTATAAATAATAGAAAATAAAATCAATATTTATATAAAACTATACAATTGATACAATAATTGAATATATAGAATAATTATATTTATGCTACAAATATAAATAAAAAATTATATTTTTTAAACCTTTTTTAGATAATAAATTTCCTTTAATAAATAATTTTGTCTTTTTACTTTTTTTTATTTTTATTACATTTTAAAAATAAATGCATGTTAGATATTGATATCCATGCAGATGTACGGGTATTTCCTTTATTGAATTAAAAAAAATCCAGGCCAGCTCTCATTGGTTAGTTTTAGGAGAATCGGATCGCCAAGTAAGCAACTGAGAGCCATAGATATAAGTTAAATTTTCTGATCTAACGGTCGAAATCTTTTCAAAGCAAGATCCTTACCATGACCGTGAAAGTATAAAACCTTACCTACACCAGATTTAGTTCTATCTCATCTTTCTCCATTTCTCACATTTCTCACAAATCTACAAATTCATAGTTAGAATTGAAATTCGAATCTCAAAATGGACGCAGGCACAAAGGTGAAGAAGGGAGCCGGAGGAAGGAAAGGCGGAGGACCAAGGAAGAAATCGGTGACAAGATCCGTCAAAGCTGGTCTTCAGTTCCCCGTCGGAAGAATCGGTCGTTTCTTGAAGAAAGGTAGATATGCTCAGCGTGTTGGTACTGGTGCTCCTGTTTACCTTGCGGCTGTTCTAGAATATCTTGCTGCTGAGGTAATTATATCCTCTTTGAAATTCATTGCTACCGAGTTGAAATTAATTTAAATTTTGAATCTGAACCCTAATTTTGAATTTGTTTTTGTGTGAAGGTTCTTGAGTTGGCTGGAAATGCGGCACGTGATAACAAGAAGAATAGGATTAGTCCAAGGCATTTGCTGTTGGCTATTAGGAACGATCAAGAGCTTGGGAAATTGCTTGCTGGTGTGACTATTGCTTATGGTGGTGTTCTTCCTAATATCAACCCTGTGCTTTTGCCTAAGAGGAAAGAAAGTGCCGCGAGTGCTCCTAAATCTCCTTCCAAGGCCAAGAAAACTCCCAAGAAGGCTTAGATAGATTATGTTTGTTTTTTTCATGTTATGTGTGTATATCTTAGATTTGGCACCTCTCTTGTGAGAGATAATTTTTCAATGTATTCCAAGCTATGTAATTTGAATGAGGTGTTTATCATGTAGGAGATTGATTCGTTAATGAAAACGTTTTGTTTTTTGTCACTCAATTTGTGTACTCAAGAAGTTTATATAGTTTTGATAAGTTTATGATGTATTCATTTTGTTGGTTTGTGTTTTGTTACCGGCGGTGCTAAATCTGATGGAAATTGAGAATATCCATATTTTTCTATCAAACTAAAAAGTTGAATATCTAATAATCTTAGGTCCAACCGTTGAAACAAAATCCACTCTTTTAAAAACCTTTTCATTCGTCTAATTTTGTATTTGCATCTTGATTTTATGGCGGCTTTCGGGTCAAGAATATTTCTACTTCCCTATCTTTATCTATTAATTGTGAATTACTATAAATTTTTTGAGATGATGATTTGAAAGATAGATTATTGCAAATATGATGTGTATGATTATTGTGTAAGATGTATAGCCATTGTTACAACACAAATTTATGATGTAGTTTTAAGAGATGTTGGTAGAATAAAATGGAGGCGTATTTCATGGATATGATGTAAATAAGGGTGTAATACTAGTGGTTTATTTGATAAAGATCAAATGGAGAAGTAAATTAAGAATACTTCATGAAAAAATTTGAGGGTAAGAATGAAACACCAGCTATACAAAATTAATTATATTCTACTGCATAATAAGTAAAATTAAGAGAAAGATAAACTAAATAAAATGAAATAAATATTCATTTTATTTTGATTCACTTTCAAAATAAACTATGATATAGGAATCACAGCAAACAAACAACAAAATCATTATAAAAAGGAAGATATGTAGAGCAATGAGAGGAAAGAAAGTAATGAAATAACATAAACTTGTAAAACAAAATGTTTTTGTGTGTATTATTATGCACAATTTACAATAGTTATATAGCTATACAAAGAGACAAATAAATTCTATTTTAGGAATTAAATCATTCTAATCCTTGACAAATTAACTCTAATTCATTGGCACAATCTGTCACAATGAATGCTAACCAGACAACTTATACCAACTAATAATATTACAACTCATTTCTCTCCCTCAAGTTGGAGATTGAGGACGATGAGATCCCAACTTGCTTGATAGTTCTCGAAATTGTTTTGTTCCCAAAGACTTTGTGAAAATATCTGCTTGTTGTGACTTGGTTGGTATGTGGATAGTAGCTATAATACCCTTGACAAGAAATTCTCGAATGAAGTGACAATCGACTTCAATGGATTTCGTTCTTTCGTGGAAAATCGGATTTGAAGCTAAATGAATAGCAGCACGATTGTCGCAATGTAGAACTGTAGGAGAATCAAATTTTACTTGTAAATGTTTAAGTAGTCTTCTTAACCATATGACTTCACTTGTGGCGTGAGCCATTGCTCTATACTCTGCTTCACTCGAGGACATTGATACGGTAGTTTGTTTCTTGGTTTTCCATGAAATGAGAGCTGTTCCTAACTTCATGACATAACCTGATATTGATCTTCTGGTTAGTGGACATGACGCATAGTCTGAATCACAATATGCAACCAGTCTGAGGTCATTATCTCTTGGTACGACAATTCCTTTCCCCGGTGAAGACTTCAAGTACCTCAAAACATGCATGACTGCGTCCCAGTGCCCTTGGTGAGGTTCCTGCATAAATTGACTTAGAATATGGACAAAATATGTTAATTCCGGTCTAGTGATTGTGAGATAAATGAGTCGTCCCACCAACCTATGGTACTGTGGAGGATTCTCATATAAAGGACTTGAATCCAATGCTAATTTATGGTTTGGTTCAAGTGGGATAGATGAAGGCTTGCAAACTAGCATCCCACATTCATTTAGAATGTCCAAGGCATACTTCTTTTGACAAATGAATAATCCAGAAGAGCCGCGAGCTAACTCTGGACCAAGAAAGTATCTCAACTCTCCCAAGTCCTTCATGTGAAAACATTCGCTGGGGTATTGTTTGAATTTTTCACATGACTTTGTATCATTCCTAGTCACAACAAGGTCATCAACATAAATTAATACAACTATGAAAACTGAACCATGTGAATAGGTAAACAAACTATGATCAGCTTCACATTCCTGAAAACCATACTTTACCATTGCTTGGGACAATTTTGAGTACCAATTGCGTGAGGCTTGCCTAAGACCATATAATGACTTTCTTAGGCGACACACCATCTCTTTACCGAAAACTTTATAACCTGGAGGAACCTCCATATATACTTCCTCATCTAATTCTCCGTGTAGGAAAGCATTACTCACATCCATTTGGTGAAGTATCCATCCTTTGGCCACCACAACAGTAAGCAAACACCTCACAGTTGTCATTTTGGCAACTGGTGCAAAGGTTTCGTTGAATTCACCCCCTTCAACTTGTGTGTATCCTTCCGCCACGAGTCGCGCTTTGTATTTCTCAACTTCACCGATCGATTTGTATTTAACCTTGTATACCTATCTATAACCCACTGCCTTCTTGCCTTTAGGAAGCCTTGATATTTCCCATGTTTGATTTTCTTCCAAGGCTTTAAGTTCTTGTGACATGGCTTCTCTCCATTCTTGTTTATGAATGGCTTGTTTGTATGACTGAGGCTCTTCAATGCTTTCAACCGCTGCAAGATAAGCTTGATATTTTTGTGAAAACTCATCATAATTTACATAATTTGATATAGGATAAATTATACCTGAAGAAGTTGACGTCTTCGGCGATGTACATGTGTGGGTTTTCTCAGCTGAGTAGCAATAATAATCATCAAGTCTTTTGGGTGGTTGTCTGTTCCTTTTCCCCATGTTTATGTTTGTCATGGTTTCACTCTCTCCCTCATTTTGAGGTTCTTCTACTTCAGTGATCACAACAGGATTTGTTTCAACAACTTGTTCTTCTCTTGGTTCTTTGGAAATTATGATCAGGTCTTGCTGCCTATCATTGCTAGACGTAGTATCTTCTTCAACAAAACCAAAATCAAGAGCAAATGTTGGCGAAAGATTTTCTTCACTGCTGTTGTCCTTTTTTTGTGATGCATACGGAAAAATATCTTCATAGAACACCGCATCTCTTGATACATATATCTCCCGTGTCTTTAGGCTGTACATTGTCCAACCTTTTTGGCCTTTAGGATATCCCACAAATATACATTTTTCGGCTCTTGAATCAAATTTATCTTGCTGCTTGTTTGAATTTTTAACATAACATAAGCATCCGAAAGTCTTAATGTGCTCATATGATGAAGGTTTTCCCAATAGCTTCTCATATGGTGTCAACCCATCATTAACCATGGTAGGGGTTCTATTAATGAGGTATGTTGTTGTTAAGACACACTCCCCCTAAAATGATATGGGTAAGTTAGCTTGGAATCTCAAGGCTCGTGCCACTTTGAGTATATGTCTATGTTTTCTCTCTACCCTTGCATTTTGTTGGGGTGTTCCCACACATGGAGTTTCATGTAGGATTCCCTCTTGTTGTAGAATTCCTTGAAAAGCATGGTTGGTAAATTCTGTCCCATTGCCACTCCACAGCCTCTTGATCTTTACATTAAATTGTGTGTTAACCATGTTGATAAAATTTGTTAAAAGTTTTAGAACTTCTATTTTTTATTTTAACAAGTAAACCCATGTTCCACGCGAATAATCATCAACGATCGTAAGAAAATAGTGACATCTACTATGAGAGCTAGTACGATATCTTTCCCACAAATCACAATGTATAAGATCAAAAGGATTCTGAGCTTTATTATAACTGTTATGAAAGGGAAGTCTGCATTGCTTTGATCTATGACATATGTCACAACAATGAAGTTTATTTGAACATAAATTAAAATTCACTAGCTGAGACATGCGTTGCATAACTTGAGGAGAGGGATGTCCCATGCGTGCATGCCAGAGAACCGTGTTGTCTGATCATGATGTGCCGTGAAAGCATACCCTTGGACTTGTTGCTTCAATACATAAACCCCACCATGTACATCACCTAAGCCAATCTTCTTCTTCGTGGCAAAGTCCTGTATCATACAATAACTAGGATGATAAGTCACAAAGCAATTTAAATCACGGGTCAATTGACAGATTGAAATTAAATTGCAATCAAACTTAGGAATAAGTAAAACATTTTGTAAAGTAATGTTTTTGCTAAGATCAATGGTCCCCATCATTTCTACCAGCATTGTGTTCCCTGTAGGAATAGTGACATAGAAAGGTTTCTCAATCTTGGTTACCCCTCTCATTAAGGATAAGAGGGGGGAGAGGGGTCATGTGGTGTGATGCACCACTGTCCAAGAACCATTTTAGATCTTTACAAGATGAATTTTTACCAGATTCACAAAAATCATGCTTCATCACATGAGAACCGTGGAATGCACGCCCCTGTACTGCTTCTTCAGTCGATTGTGCATGGTGAGCACTAGATTGTCCTCCATCATCTCTTGAGCGGTGTTGTGTCCTTCGTGTGTGCCAATTCTCTGGGTACCCTATAATCTCAAAACATCTTGCAGTAAAGTGACCAGTCTTGCCGCAGTGATCGCACTTTGAGTTTGAACCATCTCTTCTCCTCTGTCCACTTTGTTTAGATGAATAAAAAGCAGATCCTCCCAATTCTCTTTTAGTTGCAGCAATCCTTCCTTTTTCACCGATGATTCGAGCTTCTTCTCTGAGAATATGGTAGAAAACACGTCGAAGCGAAGGCAAAGGTTCGGTGTTTAGCACTGCCGCCTTAACATGTTCAAATCGCTCATTGTTAAGACTTCCGAGAAATAGGTGTACTTGCTGATCTCCTTCTCTTTGCATAATTTTTTTAGATGCACCACATGTGCATTCTGGAAGTGGTTGCAGTTCTCCTAGTTTATCAAGGAGACTCTTAAATTTGGTATAATATTCTGTCGAGTCATGTCCGATTCATGCTCCATCAGACATAACGTGCACCA